CAGCAGGAAGCCAAGCCTTGGGGAATCTGCCCCGGGATGCTTCAAGCACCAAACAGTTGGGGCCTTCAGGTATTCCCCCGCACCAAGCCAGGGCCAGCAAGCTTCTCCTTCCTTCCTTCCTTCATGCATACATACGTGACAGTGAGAGACAGAGACAAGCACCCTCCACGAGGTCTGGTCATGCCACAGTCCCCGCTCTCCAGTCCTGTAGCCCGTCAGGTTCTGGGCACTTGTGCGTGTGTCCAATGAGAGCATCACCATGTGGGATCCAGTTCCCCTTGAGCAGTGCTTTCAACTGCTGACCCAGAGCCGCAATCTTAACTGCGGCTCTGCCTGGAGCCCGGGGTGGGGGTGGGGTCCTGGAGGGCACTAACAGAGGCATCTCCCTGGGCGCTGGGCACCTGCCCCAGCCCTCCTGCCAGCCAGGAAGCTCCAGTGCAGGGAGGTGCCCAACCCCAAGCTCCCACTTGCCAGCTACACGGGAGGTGGGTGTCGAGGATCTCACTAACCAGGTGAGGATGCTGGGAAGGGGAGGACACCTGGGGACATGCCCAAGGTCACTGTGGGAAGGAGGCCCCTCCTCCTGGGCTCCCTAACACCTTAACCATCCTCTCCAAGTTCCCAGGAGCTCAGCCACCCTCGAGACCCTCCCCTGCCACCTGTCCAAGGACTTGAACAGGGTGTACCATTTCACCTCACGCCCATGTCCCTGCCTGACCGAGGTCGGCCTCCGCAGTAAGATTCCCAGTGACCTGTGCTAGCCCTGCCCCTTCTGGGTCACCAGAACAATGCAACTATTAGGATCACTACGGTGATTGTCCCTGGTCAAACCTGGTCTCTTCCAGCCTGAAACAGCCCGGCTTCCCGTGCCCTAATTTGACGCAGTGGAAGGACACACCATCCGTGGAGTTCTCCTGCCAGAAATATTTATCCTGAGTCTAGTAATGAGGACGCGATAAGACAAACCCAGGAAGAGGGACATTCTACAAGAATTCTAAACTGGGCAGGACACTCCCTAGTCTGTCCGTGAATGGCAAAATAAGTCAGAGGGTTGTTCCAGAGAGACTAAAGCTACGCCACACCAACCAGAGCCAGTGATGCTGGGACCTGGTCCTGGATCACGCAGGAAGGCACTGGAGCGGCTGTTCTGGAGACACGGAGGCTGAGCCGAGGTCGCGCTATTAGCTGCCATGGCGGCCTCTGCTGCTCCTGGCAGGTGGAGAGCCCTGAGCTACGCAGCACAGTGCCCACCGCCCTGGGAGCTGTGCCTGACGTTTCAGGGCGAGGGTGGGGACACCACAGCGCCTGTGAGAGGCAGAGAGGGACACGCGAGCGTACTGAGGAGGTGCCGTTACATCAGCGTGCGCCTTGAGTTTTCTTCCTTTCTTTTTTGTTGGCAGAAAATTGCTCTTCACTGCCCTGGGGGCAGGCAGGGCTCAGGAGCTCTCAGTGGGGCAGGTCTGCTTCCTCTTCCCCACCACGGGCTCCAGGCTGAGCAGGACGGCTCTGGCTCTGGGATAGGAGTACACGCAGACCACGTGCTGGATGCTGCTGAGGGCGGCCTGGGCATTCTTGTTGGTGGTCTGCACGTAAGAGGTGGCCAGCTTCCTCTGGCCGGACTGCCACTTTGTGACCACCATTGCTTCCTTGCCGTTGGCTGCCGTTCCACGCCCACGGTCTGGCGGTGAATCAGCCCGTTGCAGAAGGCATCGTGGCCTCGGGTTGTTGGGCTCGGTGCCGTAGGTCTGCCTGTTCCTCCTGCTCAGGACCGTGGAGCTGCTCCGCCCGACCATGCACTGCAGGTGCGCAGATATGGTGGCCAGAGTCGGAAAGACGTCTTGCATTTTCAGAGAGAGAAGTTAGAGGACCGGCCCTGTGGCCTAATGGTTAAGGGAGCCAGATCCCTTGGCTGATGGTGGTTTGTGGTCTGAGACCCACTCACAGTGGCTTAAGAATCACAACAGGTACCCATATGTGTGCCAAAACCTCGGTGGAAGGGAGAGATGGAGAAGGGACGGCAGCGTGACCACGCCCTACTGGGGGCTGCTTCCTCCCTCCTTCTCCCCGGATCTGTTTCCCTCTGGCCACTGCATGCACCCTCTGGCAATTTTTTTTTTTTAAAGCAGTTGGGGGACATGTTGGTTCCCACCATAGCACAGCCTGGGTGTCCACATGCATCGCCAGGAGGACTGAGGGGTCCTGCCCCCTGACAGCTCTGACCACCATGGGCATTGGGAGGCAGGGGCAGG